GAAAGACCAAATAAGATTCCGGCAGAGCTTCCAAAGGTCCTTAAAGCATCTTTAGCTCAGGCAATCTCTAAGACAGCCTGGGAACGTGATGGGAAGGAAATACTGTACACCCCCTTGCATGTTTCAATGCAAATTATGATGGAGCTGACCTAAAGGATGGTTTTCTCTTAAATTTTCCTTTCTTTTCTTTTCTCTTCTCATTTTTTTACAGAGGTTCCTTTTTTATTATTTACCTCAATTTTTATAGCTTGTAGAGGATATACAAAATGTTACAGCAGAGCGGCAGCATAGTTGAAAACATGCATTCCTTGATCAAAGACTTCAAAAAAAATTAACCTAAACAAAATGGAAAAAAGTAATATATTTAAAATACATTTATTTCATACTAAGTATAGTTCAAATCTATTAACATATTTCCTGACATATTGCTTGAGACTTACTGATAGAAAAATTATAATTAGCGTACCACTTGTGCACAATGTACATTTCTTAATATTAAACCTAAAATGTGTTTTAATGTCACTGTTGATGAGGATTGTATGATCTTTGAATAATATTGGTCTTTAAATGCAAGATATTTAAAGTGTATCTGAAGTATACTTGCAATAGTTCCACTTTAGCACAATCAAATATACTTCAGTATATATTTAGATGGGCTTCAGCACTACTTCCGCACAACTGAAGTGCATCAAGTACAAAACTAGTTGTTACAGTTTAGCAGACTTTAAGTATACCAAAAGTACAATTGCAGGGTATTTTTGTAAAGTACATAAATATGTAAATGTATTTGTAGTATACTTAGCATGAAATAAATGTATTTCAAATTCATTTTAGTATATTTATTTTTCACTAGGGATGTTATAAGATCATGTGACAACAACTACACATTTGTTGAATATTGCAAATTCAATGGAAGAAGAAGTTCTGTATACAGTATATACTGCACAGTATTAAGTACTACGCTGGTATTTTAATCCATTAAATAGAATTGTTGTTGAATTGTCCATCTCATAGAAGCTGAGGAAGGGCCTTTGGAAGTCCCATGTTCAGATTGATTAATCATTACTAGAAAAAATTAAAAATTAAAAAAAAATGCAACCAGATATTAGGAAATGCCTAAAAACAAGTAAGAAAGATTAAATTTGTTTGTCAAATGAATATTTTGCAGACTAAAAAACTTTAGCTATCAGCTGATAAATGTTTTCATGAGTCACAACACATTTTCTTTATATTACACTGACGACATTCAAGGTCTTATAGAATAATATAGGCATAAACAATATTCAAGCACACTTTTTCCAACAAGTGTGAAAGACCAAATAAGATTCCGGCAGAGCTTCCAAAGGTCCTTAAAGCATCTTTAGCTCAGGCAATCTCTAAGACAGCCTGGGAACGTGATGGGAAGGAAATACTGTACACCCCCTTGCATGTTTCAATGCAAATTATGATGGAGCTGACCTAAAGGATGGTTTTCTCTTAAATTTTCCTTTCTTTTCTTTTCTCTTCTCATTTTTTTACAGAGGTTCCTTTTTTATTATTTACCTCAATTTTTATAGCTTGTAGAGGATATACAAAATGTTACAGCAGAGCGGCAGCATAGTTGAAAACATGCATTCCTTGATCAAAGACTTCAAAAAAAATTAACCTAAACAAAATGTAGACGCGAACAACAGGAGATGAATCCCACACTTGGATATCATTACCACTTACATGAAGTAACCAATTTGGTTCCCAGTTCTAGGTTTAGAACGAAAGCATCAAGATGTGATTGTCATTACGGGTTTGAAAAACAGCAAACTGCCTTTACTGTGTGTCTTTGGCCTTGTTGATCAAGCTGTAGCGGATTTACATAATGCTGGGCTCCAATATAAATAAATAAATGAACAATTCCACTACCTGGTCACATTGCATTTTTATATATCTTGTCTTTGTTTGACATGTTGTCTTTACATAGCTGCTATTGATTCTTCATTGGTTCAAATCCACTAGCCTTTAACTTAGTCCATATTAAGACAACAACAGTAGTAATGACGCAGAATGTGGCGCACAATCTAAGAATAGCAGTTCCTGTATTACTCCCAGTTAACCATGCATAGAACATTTGTGCTGAAGAAAATGGACAGTATTTTTAGGCCACTCTGAACAAGGCACTTTATAACCTGTAACACAAGTGC